TTCACCAAAACGTCTTTTATAATCCCATCCGGTATATCTTTTCCTAGGGTCCCAATAATTGTCCTGATCATCATCACCATCTTCTTCGTCGATGTTAGATTCGTTATTGTCATCATCATCCATGTTGACGGGTGAGACTTCATTATCTAATAATCCCAAAGCCTCCAAGAATTCGTATACCTCAATCTTATCACCAGCACTAGTGTCAGAATAGGTTTGTTCCATGAAGATATAATACCAAAATACCTTATCTTCAATTTAGGTTATTTAGAAATTATATTACGTCACTAAACACATGATAAAATACTCATGGAAGTTCACGAGAACCATGATATATATTTCGATGAACCCCCCATCTCTCCGGTAACCGCCTAGGAGAATTATTGGATAAATTGCATACTCGCTTAGACTGAATTATCGTATCTTTTTTTTGAATCACGTGGGTGGCTTAGATATCGTGCACAGTAAAACGTCATTTATTCTTCTCCGCAGTAATATCCTGTGCTACGCAGATCCACAGAAAAATGCTATGCGCAGTAGAGTAACTTCGTCATGTGGACCGTCACCTGAAATGCGCAGAAGATTTTCGGCAAAATATTTGCCGAATAAATATTCTTTTTTCCGATCCCGCATCGCGTAATGTGTGGGGTAAATGTGAGAATTTCGTCATACGATGAACGAAGCAGTTTTTCACTCGAAGATTCTGGAATTTTTTATGAATTCACGTGGTATTGGGAATAATCGATTGTATGATTAGAATCTAGATCACCGGATAAACGAAAGATTTTTATTTAGCTTATTGGGCATTTATTATCCCGTTTTTGAAAAAACGTGAGCGATTATACTAATAAATTGGGCTATTCTACATAACGAAAGGAGCATAACTAAGGTTATAAGGGAAAGGGTCTGTCGATTCTTAATGGTGTTAATAATAAAAATCATATGTTGTGAAGAGTTGAAAACTTTACAATCTCCGAGATCTACATTAGTTTACTTTGTGTCCAAAGAGATTATCATACCAAAAAGGATAATCCCCCTATTTCCTATTGTCCGCAGGAATTAAGCATATTATTAGTTAGTGTTTTAGTAATTACAAAAGAAACAAGTATGAATGGGGAAATCTTTCCCCGAATGTAGAATGTGCGCGGGTAAAGTGTGAAGAGATTAGTAATTGAAATTGAACTATAAATACGGTACTTGAAATAATGGGTAATCCTTACAGAAATATGGCAAAAAGAAATTTAACCTGGCGCTTCTTTCACGAAGTAGAAGAAAATTCTGAAGCATTTCCCATTGATATTGACGAATCAGAGTTTGTCTCGGAACTTGGAAAGAAAATCAAAGAAAAAGTTAAAGAGTTAAAAAACGACATCTGTTCCGATATTGATGACGATGATCTAGATTTACAGCTCTGGAAGGTTAATATCTCTAATAGCGATGTAGACAAGTTTTCGAGCCTTCGTCTACAAAAGGATGAAAGTAAGGGTATAGAGAAACTCGAAGGAATAAACCTTATTAGTAAATATTGGGGTGATTTAGAAGAAGGATTTACTCATGTTATTGTTACCTCAAATTATTTAATTAATCAAAATTTGAGAGAAAAAATTAAAGAATTAACTGAAAACTTTGGGAATGTGTCAGTTCAGTCTGAAAGTGAGTAGTTTTATCATTGTTACGTTTTTGACCAAGATATGATAATACAAAGCTTTATTTTTAGAGGAAATGGGTTATTTTGGTCGACTCTCCGAAATGCTAACCACATTAAAAAAAAACAAAAATCGTGCCGGTAAGGCCTCTTATCTATTTAATTCTAATTACAATAAAGATTACACCTTTTTTTTCTTGACTTTTTTTGACTTCTTAATTCGTCCTTAACAGAGAACTCCATATTACAACTCGCATATAGTGAAAAAATCGTTAGTGAAGGCGATGACATTTTATATAATAATATTAAGATTACCACTTTGAAAGTGGCAGAAGGATGGGCATACATTGAGTATGAAAACGAGTATTTTACAAGTATATCGGAATTTATCAAGAAAAAAGAGATGGTGAGCTGTCGCTAGTTTGAATAGTTAATATATTGTCAACAACTCATAATCTCATATTATCTCGTAATTGTAGATAACATACCCTCCGGTGCCTAAACAACGTGACCTCTTTGCCATAGGCAATAGATCTTATCAGAATATACGTGAGATTCTGGGACCAAAATTACCACAAAGAGGGAGGTAAAAAAAGTCGTAAAAAATTTTGACTCTGTCTCTGTCTACTTTCATCTAATGTCATTATGTAGTAGTCTTCGACCTGTATTATGTATTTTTTTTCGATCAATAAAATAAAAAGCAATTAATTTACCCAATTCAGATAATGGAGTGGGTTATGGGATTGTGGGAAGCGAAGTGAGCGTGTACGCCAATATATTCTTTTATTGTACTGAGATCATCTAGAACTTGATAAATAAATGCACGGTAACATTTTAATATGACGTCACTCATACAGTATCACGAGTATGTCCCGAACTTTTGTATTTATTTTTTACTTCTGTATTAAAACTCGGTTCGCCCAAAATCACGCGGGTGGCTTAGACATCGCATCATGATATGCGCAGTAAAACGTCATCCGCAATAATACGCCACTGGTTCATGTGAATCCGCAGAATATTCTATGCGCAGTAGTGTGGTCCACCGCATCCGCAATCGTTATTTTTTAGAGGATCTATTAATAACCCCGGCCAAGAGCAATATTTTTGTGTTGCTATAGTGATGAACTTTCACCAGCGCCAAGCCGAAAGAAGTTCTGGTATGTTCTTTCTCGCTCATTACGCAGTTCTGAATTACTAATAAAAAAATAACACATCCTGATTTACATGC